TGAAGTTGCTCGTCAAGGAGCTTCGCCAACTTGCCCATCTTGCCCTTTTGCACCTCCGGTGCTTCTTCTTTCAATGCGTCTTGTTGCGCTTTTGCCGCGATTTCGGCGCGCTTTATTTTCTCCATCAGCTTCGATGTGAACTTCGGTCCAGGTAACTGGGTCTCCCAGGTAACTCTGGTCGAATCGAAATCATTGAGGTTTTGGACCAAATAGAAGTAGCTGTCCGCATTTTCCAATGCCTTATCCGCAGGCAAGGCACGGCAGGCCTCAGCGCCATAAGCATGATCAGTAGTACCATAGTGGTGGGAGGCCTCGTGAATCAAAGCACCAATGCGGAATTGCGACCCCTGACAAACAGGGCGCCAGAGACTCATGGAGATGAGAAACCAACAGCACAATTGCATAATTTTTATTAACAGGCCCTGGAAGCTATTATTCTACTGCAACCATGTGCTTTTGATTTTTTGTGTGTGTCCAAGTACAGCTAACACATCCACAATCCACGCTTGCTTGCAGCCCTTGCAACTCTCAACACTCCTTTATGTGCTTCATTGTCCATAAAGAAAACAAACACCCAAGAAAGGCATGCCTCGGCCCAGAATGCAGGGCATAGGTTGATGATGTACCGGTCATCTTTCGTCATCTCTCCAACGCGGTGGTCTTTGGGGCCGGGTCTTTGTTGCCCCAACAAAGGATGCCACTGGACATAAGCCAATTCACGCTTTGCACAATATACACCAGGGTCTGGCGATTTTCGAATGTAGCTGTTCTGCAGAACTTTCTTGACGTGCTGCAAATGCTGAAAAATCACCTGCAAAACCCAGATAAGCCAAGTGATTGAAAAAAGTGAAAAGCCACGGTCCATAACTGCATTTTCTGAGCATGTGGTTGTACAAAAGGTTGCAATGCACAAAGAGTCATGTCTACCATGTCTACCCATCCTTCGAATGCTCGCTCCCTTTCATCCACGTCTTGAGGCAGTCAAGCGTGAAGATCCTATCGAATCAAAGACTCAGATCGACTCGGACCACCAAGGCATATTTATTGGCCCGAGTTGCACACACCCTAACTTATCCAAATTAAATAAGTAGGCGCCTGCTTGATCGGGCAAGGGCTAAAAGAACTACTGGAGAACCTGCTGATAGCTCACGCTATTCGATTGGTTCCTAGAAGTTCCTATGCTGCTATTCATTTCTAAAAGCATCAATTCATGAGCTCCCCAAGCTCCGGCCTGGCTCTCTTCTTCTGCACTGCAGCACTGACCCAGGCGACAGCTTGCACCAACTCCTTCTTGTAAGCCTTCCGTCGTTCTTCCAGGATCCTCACAGTTGGTAGTAAGAAGTGGACTGGTCGTGCGAGAAAGTTGCTAAACACCCAGGTCAACAAAAAAAGAAAACAAGAAAGTGCCAATATAGTGTATTTTGAACACCACTCTGTCTGGCTGTGCGTAAAATTGCATCGGGACTGGACGCAGGAGCACGCTTGAGGCGCCGAGTTTCGACTCCTCGATGGCTGGGGAACCTGGATGCATAGGACCGAAGCCTGGTGGATAAGAGCTTCTCTCCGCCAAAGAGCTCTGAAAATGACCATCGAAAGCATCCGAAGCTTCCACGTCAAAGGGTGCCTGAAGTGAAACATGTCGAACTCGGCCGCTGAAAAGGTGCAGGCGCTGAGACTCTGAGACCCCGACAGGGAACACGTCAAACAACTCGTTCAAAAGATTGGTCATGATATCCGGCAAGCTGTTCTCTTCGACTCTTGGCATGCCTAAGTAACTAGAATTTAACTAGAAAATGGAATTTTAACTAGAGGTCTGCTAAGCACATCTCGCACAATCAAAGTATAAACAGTATAGAGAGGTACGCATCAGAGATCAAAGGTCTGGTTTACTTGGACGCGTCTATGCACAAGGTGTAGCGTCCTTTTTGGGAGTTTAAATTGAATACTGGATAGAGGCCATCGCTAGTAGGTTGGAGGCCATCGCTGGTAGGTTGGAGGCCATTGCAATTTGTTTTGTTTTTGTTTTATTTGTATATATACATATAATCTGTATATAAATCTCAAAACTCGTGTGTTGGAACCATGAACACGCCAAGGTTCGAGGACTTTCATCCAAGACTTTGGGCGTGTCCTGGCCAGCTAGCTTTGGGGCAAACAGAGAGATAAAAGAAGCCAAAGTTGGAGTCAGACGGATCAATCAAAGCAGTTTCCATCCTTCAAATCTTGGCTCTTTGCAGTGCCAAGTTGTGCTACTGTCCTCAGGGTCTCCATCCGGTTGTAGAGGTGGAGATTTCAACAGCTCCTCCAGATCCACGCTCACCTCAACCGGATGTAAGTAGTGAAAGCTACAACTGTGGAGGTGAAGATCTTAAGTCTCAAGTAGGTGTTTGGCGTCTCTTGATCAAAAATCTGACCAACCTCATGTTCACCTCCATGGCACTCTCTGGGACGTCCCCCGGCCTCCTCAGCGCAGCGCTCATCCAGGCAGGCCATCTTTGGTTTTGGCACCAGCCGACCCAAGACCCTTGGCGTGGCCTGGCGGGTGACCCGGACGTCTGGAACCCGGTTCAGCGGTTTGAGACGAGGAAGATCAGCGTCTTTTTCGGTGAGGAGCCCATGTCCGCCATCTTTTTCGGTCTGAAAATCGGGAAGAATCGATGGAATATCCGAAAATCCGCCACGAATGTGTTCCAACATGCTTCAGAAGACGGAATCTGAAACGTTGAAGGTTGAACTTCTCCCTTCTTGGCAACATGCAAAAGAAGCATCTAACAGAGCAGGTACTCATCGTACCCCAACAGCTGCTCTGCAGAGTGACTCCAAGTTGATGGGCTGTGAAAGCTTCAGCGTTGAAAACAGCAGCTCACTTACCTCCCAGGGGAAGCTCGCTCTTAAAGCGTTCGAGTCAGGAGATTGGATTCTAGACACAAGATGTTTATGATCCTTTATGTGATGTTGTGTGACCGTGCTTAGCATAGAGAAGGCGGTTAGTCTATCGCAAACAAAGACGAGAAAGCTATAGCTACAGTACTTTCTCTTCACAGGACCACACCTGTTCGTGCGTCACGTCCAGGAATTGTGCAATCTGTGCCTGAACGGCTCCCGTTCGAGGGCACAAAATGCGTGAAAAAGCAGCGCATCCGTATTTTCAAGATTCACCGGTAAATGCATCTCGAGTGGCTGCACTTGCGTTTTGCTCCTTCAGATCCAAAGCTTCTCCAGCTGCCTTCATCTGTTCAACGCTACAAACCTCCTTCACACGCTCCTGGCAACTTTCACTGTTCATGTCCTCAAGTTCATGCACAATATATACATCAGTTCTTTCTAAATGATCGGTTTTTTACTATGCAAAGTTGGCACCTCCCGATCTTGTGTTCGCCCTTTCGGCCAAGAATCGCCGCTCGGTCGGTCGTGACGCCGCTCGGAACGCCGTCCTCAGAGACGCGGTGCTGGGCTGCGAAGGCCTCGCCGATCGTCTCCCGCACACGGGCGGCACAAGCACCGTGGAGCACGAGGACGAGCCAACCTGGTGACGTGAGAGACGGGTTTACCCGAGCTGATCAAAAAGGCATAAAAATAAGACAAAATAGGCTGACTCAAAAGGTTCTTTTGGAGATTTAGTTGGATCTCAAAATGCACTTGGACACCACTACCTCTCGGCGTGCCAGCGGAAGGACACCAGTGCATTTCCAAAGCCAAGTAGCATCTCGACATGAAGAGTAGAAAGCCAGCACAGCCCAAGTCCCAGCAATGGAAAAGGGTTTCACAAGCAACAAGACATTGTCTTTTTGGGCTTTGAGCCAGACTGCTTCCAAAGATTCACAAAATGAGAATCAAGTCGAGACCCCCCGAACCAGCCTTGTGGTCTTTTTCTCGTAGCATCCGTTTTGGGTTGATCACACGTCCAATCCCCACCAAACAATGGCAGAAGAAACTCCTTTGGTCAGGATCCTCAAAAGAAACACACACCTTTTTTCTTGACTGATCTTCACCAACGCGGCAAGCTTCGTCTAGCTGCGGATAGGACTGTAAACGAAACGCGTCGTCATGCTGGCGAAATTCTTGGTGGCAGCTGCCGAAGGATCAGGCAGCAAATACACAGTCTGAATGGCCTGGAACGTTTGACACTTTCTGAGAAAACCACATCAACACATCCCAAGCAAGAGATTCCAAAGACGTGGGTCTTCTTCAATCGGAGACAACAGTCAGAGGCCTAGAGGTTGACTTGCCAGCCTGCATCAACTTCCTTGAGGTGTCCAAGGTCTTCTTCGCTTCTTCGGGTAAGGGCGCTTGCTTCCAGAGCGTGACCACCCGCACTGCAGCAGCCAATCTCGGATGAAGTCGCAGATTCCATGCAAGGATTTATAAGAAAGTGAGCAAAAAAGAAAACAAAAGAAGATATTTCCTTAAAGACCACCGGCCCTGGACATTTCAAGTGTCCACTTCAACGATCTTTACTCTGAGTATTCTCTTAAGTCACTTCTCCAAGAAACTTCTCCTGGTCCTTCTGCCTCACTTCGAAAAGCTCGGAGACTCTGAGCGCTTTCAGTTCTTCCTCCTCCGGATCTGCTCGTGCCACTGCACCCGCGGGAGTGAGTCGCCACCGGTCGGCCACCAAGAAGTCATCACCCTGGGGCTTCAAACGAGGCGTAGGGCCTCAAAACGGGCTTCGTCACACTCAAGGTTTCAACATGCAAGGTTCAAGCACAAATCTTCAACTTTGCAGAGATCGAACCTATGTTCCCAATCGACCGAAAACCTTCGGCCTCCCAAGGTGTAGGCCGCGGCCACAGCGCCCGCCGCGAGGCCTGCCCGGTCCTCCAGGACGCCTTTGCCACCACCCGGCGCCGGGCGGCCGCTGGGCTGCCAGCGGCGCCGCGCACGGAAGTTGCCGGCCTCCGTGCCGACCTCGGGAAGGAGTGGCCAACTGTGGCGGCGAGCGAGTGGAGGGATGCAATTGATGATTTCAAGACACAATTGATGATGCAATTGATGTAGCTCTTTGCGGACTCCATCTTGCACCCATCTCAGGAGTCCAGACTGCCTCTTGGTTTTTCTTCACGAACTCCAAGGCTCCAGGCCTCCGTTAGATGGCTTATTGGACATGTGGCAGGGTGAGAAATGAAGATTATCTGTTTCTATGACTCTCTTTGGCTTCATGCCATGTCGACAATGTGGACATTGATGTTCTGAACTCATGTTGTTTCTTGTTACCAAACCTGCAGACAAGCAGTTTGAGGACAGAGCAGAGCTGCATTGAACTCTTTTGTCCGCGAACTGCTCTCAACTTTGTACCTGAGCGCGGTTGCAAGAGAAAAACACATGCTCACTTCAGGGAATGAAGCATACCTGTTCAATTGAGCTTCGGTCCCATCGAATGTGCGTGGCAAATCATAATGCAATTTGGGTGTGGATTGTGAAGTCACAAGAGGCAGCAAGGTTCGCTGCTCATCAGCTTCCAACTTCAATCGAATCCTTTCTGAGAAAAAAATATGTCCACTGCGAATCCAAAGGAAAAAGCAAAACTGCACAGCTTTGCTGAAGGCTCCATGGTACAGCTCGCCGAAACAGGCCCATTCGCCACCAAACCAGGCAGGAAGAACTAGCTCATCCCCTACAAAGGTTCACATTTCAAAATTCCAACGAAATGCGCTTGTTCGGTTAATTTGAAGTGTTCGACTGGGGTGTTGTCCAATTTGGATGGAAGAATCAAGAAGAACAACATTGGGATCATCCGGAAAGAAAAATTGGCCAGGCACAGCGTCAGCGACCTTCGTTACCTTTCAGTGGCTTGCCGTACCTTTCAGTCCTCTCAGTCCCAGCCTCTTTGGCCCAAGCTGAGTTGGGAAGCTGCGGCCTCCACAGCCTTTTCAGCTGAGTTTTTATCCTTGCACAAGTTGGCCATGAAGCAAATGTGGAGAACCAATACGAACAGTCTACCTAATGTCTACGCGATGATGTGTACTGGATTTGGATATTTTCTCGTCCCACTTGTTGTGCCTAAACATAATTGATGTTCGGTTCAATATCAGGGAAAACATATGAGTGGAGAGACTGGTCCAATTAAACTGCATCCACATTGTCAAACCCATTTGCACTTTTTTGGCATTGCCCTCCTCGGCAGAGGCACTCGCTACATGTTCAGCTACAACCGTCACCACACCAGTTGCAAGAACTCCACGTCGTGTGTCTTTTGGTACCAAAAATGGCCTCGCACTGCAAGTCAAGTCAAGAACAACATAAATGGACTTGGATATCTACCATTGAATTCAAACACTCACAATGAACGAAGAACGATTTTTGGCAACACAACTCTCTTTGAAAAGAATGCCACCTGGATGTTTCAGTCGCAAAGAAGATAGCTGCCAATAAAGAAGCTCGTCTAGCTCTTCCAAACATAGCGGAGCCGCAGGAAAAGGTTTTCACAACAAGGACCCACTGCGATAACATCAATCAGTTCGTTCAGGGAAGTTGGATCAACATTGATAGGAAGCTGTGAGTTTGACAGGTCGTCTTGGGTCTTCCTTTGTGTGGGGACTTGGAGACTTTGCTATGACCTTTCATCAGGCTGTAAACTCTAGACAATCAAAAAGCTGCAACGAGAAGCTACCTAACAGGCATCTGTGTTTTCCAAGTTTGGGCAGGGGCTACAATCTTCTGAGAACCTGCGTTCATGCCGGTAGCGAACATGTAGTCAGGAACAATAACAATGGTTTCACGGTGGGACTGCATTCCTGTTTTGCAGCGCTTGATTTTCTTGGTTCAAACTAGAGACAACGTTGTTAATGGTATCCTACAAACCATGTTGGCAATTTTGTGCGATAGCCAAAAAACATGTTTGCAAGAGATTGTTTGCATTTGCCAAACTTGAAGGGACCAAAACCAAAGAGTCACAAGGTTGAAGTTTGCAACAAAAATGTTGCGGAAATGCCAGAAAGTATGTATGTGCTATCACTGCATGAAACCACTTTGCTGAGGTACCCAGCAAAACGGTTCTTCCCACACGTGAGTGAGGCAAGGGGTCTGTTCGCATCCTAACAAAAACGCTCTGCGACAGGACAGACAATGTGGTTAACCTCCGCTCCATAATGTTTCTCAATCCGCTACATCACAAGCAAGCTGGTGATCGCCCCTAGTACAGTGTACTGCGATTGCTGCTCGTGTTTGGGAAATGGAGATTCTAAACCTTAATTTCGAACTAACACATCAGAACATGTGCGCCAACTTGAGAACTGCATTCACCCGCTTTCAACGTAACGGCGCGGTCAAATTTCCAGCCACACAAGCAGCGCAGGAACACTTGGAAGGAAAGTCCTACTAAAATATACTAAAATACAACCGTCTCGGCATACCAAGTCACCTAGGACCCCTGGGAGCCAACCCCATTTTAGCCTCCAAAGTGCTAATGAAATGGGGGGTCCAAGATAAATTGAGAGGGGCCAACATTCCAGACTCCAGAAATCTAGAGTTCATTGAGGTACTCTGCATCTGGTTTCCCACGTTTCCCTCCCTGAAAAACTCTGAACATATTATCTATTCTAGGCCATGGGTAACCTAAAACCACCACTGCCGAAGGTGCAGCGCTGCCAATAAAATGGAGGGGTCCAACATCAGTCTCCACATGAAATGGGGGGGTCCAACATCTGGTTCCTAAAGTCATCTCATGACCACATGCTTTCTTCAAAGAAAGTCTCTGGCTAAAATCCCTCTGATAAAAGGGGGAGTAGCCAACCTCAGATCCAATTCCAGATAGATGTTATTTTCAACATAGGGTTCTTGCCCAAACACATTCTATTTTTGTGGGCTTCAAAATCAGGTCGGTCCCCTGGCTAAAATCTATTTCCTTCCAGGGACTCAAGTCACCCGATTTTAGCCTCCAAGGCCAGACGGCTCTCTAAAATGTTTATGTTGTCTGCCCTGTCGCAGAACCTTTTCGCTAACTCACGTGCGGGAATGACAGCTTTGCTGGAAGCACTGTTCGTTTCACTTCTCAAATGTGCTCCATGGTGACCGGATCTATGGGAATCTCGGCACAGCATTTTTCTGTACGAGTTCAAACTGTTCTTAATTCATGGAATTTGATCGATATTTTTCCCGAAAGACTTGGTCGATGCGCTCTTCCTAAAGGCACTTGGTCTGTCTGGCTTGTCAGTGGGCTACGGGTTTCAACTGCTCACACGGTTCGAGGAATGGAGCAGTGGGCAGCAATCAACGAGCATCAGCAAGAAGGTAGAAGGTTTGGTGCTGGGGAGGGCAGAGCTTCCTTGGCGGATGGTAGGGGCGGCATAGCCAATGCAGCGTAAGCTGTCGCAGGGAGTGGGAACGGCGGAGCTGCATGTGGGGAGCCCTCCTGAACTTGCACACCCATGTGGGGTCGCTTCATGTTGGCTACTACGACGACGACCTGCGGCAAGTTAGGTACACTTCTTGATTTGTGTTTCATGTCTTCGACGGCATGGTATGTACATGTCACCTCAACTCGCACTCCTCTTTCGGGCTTTGAGTGCTCAATCAAAGGCCGATTCATCAGGCCTTAAGTCATAAATTGGAAACATTCTTCCTTGAGCTGGTACATGATTCTAGCTCATGGTCCCACCTCATGGCATAACACCACGTGGCCTCAATTTTGGCGAATTCTTGTCTCCTGTCTCCTTCAGATCCGCCCTGTTGTAGGGCCTACTGAAAAAGCTGAATCTCTGCTCAGGGATCTTGATGGGTTCTCCAGAAAAACCTACTAGCTTAAGTAAGTAGATAACAAACGTCCTAAACACAAAGCGAAGGCACGTGCGACAGCTCACAAGCAATGCAAAAGCACTCGCACCACTTTCATGCGCACTCTCTGGGCCTTGAGCCAAAGTAAAATTCAAAAGGCTATGAGGTATTCCTGCATACAAGCGCTTCCCATGCGAGACACTGAAAGTGTCGAGCTTAAACGCACTCAAACATGCACAAAACTGTTCAAGAAACATTCACACTACAAAAACTACAAAGACTTCTGTTCACAAAGCTTCTAAACATTGTACATTCCATGAGCTATGCTCTCCAACCTTCTCAAAACACTTCGAAACACAAAGTTCCATCAAAGAACGCTTGCTCAAGCACTCGAAATGCAAAACTATGCGCTCCAAAAGTAAAAACCTCACAGCTATTGCGTTCGCCTGCACCTCGCTACCTCACACACTTTCACACCCCCTTCGAGGTGAGGCTCATTCACTCTGAGCTAATGGTGACTTGAGTAGATGCGGTGGCTTCAGACCTCTCAACTTTCCAGTGCTCTTTGGTAATGATCTTTTCGCTTGCCTTGCACAGTTGAAGGCGACTGAGTCCTCTTCCCTCGGGTGTAATGGCATAGTTGCTGCAATGATCTACAGTTCCCGTGCGGCAGATCTCTAACCAATCCTTCCAGAAAGTTGGTGGAATCAAAACTTCCACTGGGCCCAAAGTAGTCTCCACTCCTCGAGATACAGACATCTTGGCATTCACTTCCTCATCTCTATGGCTATGACGCTCCTTCCCATTGATCGTCACATTGACACCACGAGACTTGCAGAAAGCTTGACTCAGCACAAATCCAGTAAAGATCCCCATGCTGAAAGCCACTGCCAAAAGAATTTCGAATTCACGACCATCCAGCATACTCAATGCTGCTTCCATGGCCATCGCGCGTCCCAAATGGCTGCGGATACAAGCAGTCAGCTAGCGCAGCACGCACAGCAAGCTTGACCCACACACAGAACAGAATAGAATATAGAAATTGCATTCACTCAGAATCTCCAGACCTCCATGGCTTTGCCAATAAGACCTTCTGATCTCCGATTCCGATCTTCTCTTCAAGAGACATTCGACCGACCTCGAGAAACCTCAGACTCATCATGAAATCTACCTAATTCCTCTGACATTCGACATTCGACGCTTCGAAAACCTAGACAAAAGACACTCTCTCTTTTCGCGACGTCCTTTCGACTTGATCGAAGCGGTGCTGCAAAAAGAAAACACCCATCATGGTGTAAGATCCATCTCGGACCCTTCTCAAATGCGGCAGCATTCGCTCATGCATGCGCAGCCTCATTCCTTAGAAACCGAACGAAGTATCGAGCAAACACGCGCGTGTATCGTTCTGTCTCTGTCCAATTGACATTGTTGAAAGCTGCGTGCTCGACAATGCACTGACACTTAAACCTTTCCGCTAACCTGTTTGCAACCTCCTTTCTGTTTGACGTAAACCTGAACCTCTTTCCAACTGGTTGTTGACCTTTGGCAAACATCTTCATTAAATCCGTTCACGATACCTTCAAACTCTAGACGCTGGTTCGAGAAGACCTTTCTCAAGACTTCTGACTTCCAGTACTGATTGCGCTGGTAGCTCTAAGCTCTTGGATACCTGACCATGAACCTCTTAAACCAAACCCCCACTCCCACCAAGAGGACGCTGAAGAAAGACGAGGCTTCAATCTGGCGCAAGCACAACGGAACTGAGGCCAGGCCCACTAAAAGGGGAAGGTTTCTACAGAAGGTGCCCCTCAGCCCGTGCCAACGACCAGTCGTCACTTTGTTGCCGCGATTGCGCCCCAAGGATCTGCCTGCGGCGCCCCCGCCGAGGCCAGGTACGACGTCCTGTGCCAGGACGAGACCTCAATCTTCATTGCAGACGGTCGGAATGCCCCCACCGCCACCGCCTCCAAACTCCACAAACTCCGACGACGCCTTCAGCCGCTTTTGACGAGCGCAGTGCCAGCAGCTCCTGTGCCACCAGCAGCATCGAACGAGACCCAACTATCCTTCTTGTCTTGGAGCGGGCATTGTCTGCAGTCACACCGATGATCAACAATCGGCGCAGGAGTTTTCTCTCAAGTCTGAGAACTCGTCTGGAGCCAGGCCAGCCGCAGTCTTCAACAGTCCCGTCAAGGTTATCAGCAATTCTTATATACACAAGGTAGAGAGAGATGTTGTTTTTGTTCGAAATTTTGCAGTCGAGATTCTCTGAGACAGGCTTGAATGGAGGTTGGTGTGTCTTACATTGGATGTCATGATTGTCTACAGGAAGAGGCAGTTCAGGCAGAGATTCTTTTTTCATACTTGATTGATTGCATCGCTGTCAGGGCCGCAGGAACCAGCCAAAGGACCACCGTCGATTTGAGATTGGCGATTGTGGAACTAAGTTGATCCATGTTCATGTATCTTTGCCATGTACTGGAGGAAGTCCGGTTTTCCATCCGCGAAGTACCAAGAGGGCAAAGTAAGCAGTTGTCAGATGACTACGGCCAATCATCGGTTGCAAAGCATGGCAAGCCGTGGAAAATTCCCTCTCCGTGGCACAATCCATGCAACTGATTGCACATACGAAAAGCAGTGGCTTTACCTTGAGTATGGAAGTGGAAGGCATCGCAACGCCCGGTCTGCTCACGACATGCTGATTTCCCTCCCACAAGGGAG